ACCAGAGCAGGACTTTCTAAAGCACAGGGCCCAGGGTAGGATGGTGCTGGACTTGTGTCCTATACAGATTTGCCATTTAAAAATATTGGAGGACCTTCTGGTAAAATTTAAATCAAGTCTTACAAGAAAATGTAAACAGAAGTATTATACAATGTCAGTGTCTATTTACTTGATATCTTTGTTGTTCTTTTAAAAATGTGACAAAAACAAGAAAGACTTTAGTCAACATTCGTTGGGACCTCAGAGTATTGTATCTGAGCCATTTCCTCCCTTTTCTCCACAGTGAATTCGTCTTCACTGTACCTGTCATCTGTCCTCTCTCAAGCCGGAAACAAAGGGCCCGGAGCATGAGTGTTGCTCAGGAGCTCTGTTTTCCAGAGCAACAGTTTTCTGTCCCTAATGACCCCATCTGGAACGGCTGATTGCCCATTGACCTTGGCTAGTGTGAAATCCATTCGGCAGAATGGATTTATACGTTCTTATAGATCGAAACTGTAGGAACAGATGGAGGAGTTGGCTGCAAGGAATCTGCTTATTATTACCGAAAATGTTCCTCCTCCTCCCAGCGTGGTTCCCCAAGTCCGGGGGTGGGCAGAAGGTCCTGGTGACTCACGGCTTCTAGAGAAGAAATCCACATATGGCAGCCACTAAAATCACATCTCCCTCCAATTGCTAGAGCATTACATTGTTTAGATGGGTGCAGGGATACTATCTTGCTAAGCACCAGGCAGGGAACGGGTTGCAATTTCTGGCTTTTGTTTGACACATGCCCAAGTGGCACCAGACAGGCGCTAGAATTCCGTGGTTATTTGGCAGACAGCGAGAGAACAATTGAAATTTTGCATCTGTGGTAACATCCCTCTGCTCACTGGTCAGGCAATGTATGAAGCTGCACATTTTATTATTTATATTTTATATCTATAACTGCACATCCTATTACTATCCATGGGTGGGTTTTAATCACCAACGATGAAACTTCAAGAGGAGCGGGCCAGCTGAACCCGTGTAGACCACAGTGGATGCGCAACCCCAGGCCTGGCTGTCTGAGTGGAGTATGTCTTTGGGGTGTGGAACCAGGAGCTGCGGAGGTTACCCTTGGACGGGTCACTCTGATGTCTCATCTGTTTTCCACAAGTGCCTCTCTAACCAGCACCATCTCTGCGTCTCATGACAACCACCACTGAATCAATTTTCTCCTTTCCCATCCAGAAAATAGATGCGATTTGTGTGGTCAGATGCAAATTTAGAGTTCTGAGACGCACTTACATAACTGTATCAGCGATGGCATGAACAGCTTAAAACTAGAAACATTCGTTATCTCCCAACACAGAGGAGCTGGGTGCTGTGGCTCAGGGTCTCTGAAAAGGCTGCAGCCCGCGAGTCAGCCTGGACTGGACTCATCTCACAGCCCGACTGAGGGCACTCTGCTTCCACGCTCCCTTCGATGGCTGATGAGCTGAGGGCCTCTTTCCTCACAGGGCCTGGGCCAGAGGCATCCCCCGTTTCCGTGACATGAGGGCCACTCATAGGGAAGCTCACAACACAGCCGCTGGCTTCCCTCTGGGCGGGCAAAGGAGCAAGACTGCAAGACAGACGAAGCCAGAGCATTTTTATAATAAAATCAGAAGTGACACCCCAGTACTCTTTCCCTGTTATATTCATTGGAAGTGAGTCAGCAGCTCTGGTCTGTACTGAAGGGCAGGGTTAGGGAATGAATACCCAGAAGAGGGGATTGCTGGGAACCACCTCGGAAGCTGCCCACCATAACCACTATGTCTTTTAATAATAGTGGGCTATCATCATGTCCTTTCAAATAAAAGCGTTTTAAAAATTACAGTGTTTACCACATCCCTGTCAGAAACCTAATGCGTGTGGCCCAGCCATGGAATATTATGACAACGAGGACAGTAATGTGAGCCACTTGTAGCAGACAACCTTGTTATATTACTATAGAATATATATATATATATATATATATATATATATATATATATATATATTTGAGATCTACTCTTTCTTACCTAGAATTCAGCCAGCTTTCATATGAGTTTTACTATGGCAGTAATAAATAAATAAATATAAATAAATAAATAAATAAATAAATAAATAAAAAGTGCTCTTGGTGACCACCAGAATCATAAAGTGACACAGCTAAAAAGACAATTTTTGTCTTCACCTAGCCCAACTCCTTCCTTTCCTGGTACGGAAACACTAAGAAAGGAAATAACTTGCTCATGGACACACAGCTTGGTACCAGAGTGGCTGGGTCCATGGTAGGTTTTGGTGAACTAAGCATTAATTTTAGGGAAGGGCCTGTGGCACAGCCTTCCCTGGGTGGCCTGAACCATGGATGAAGATCAAGAAAACGAGGATGGATGCCCAGCTGGCACGGCTCAGTGGTTAAGCTTCAGCCCAGGAACCAAGAGATCACTGGTTTGATGCGCATGCGGGGGTTGCAGGCTCAATCCTCAGGAGGTGGCTGATTGGTGATGCTTTTCTGTCATCCATGTTTTTCTCTCTCTATTCTTCTCCCTTCCTCTCTCTCTAAAAATCAATAAAAATATACATCTATATTTTTAAAAAAGAGCTCAGTTTTTTTTTTAAAAAGGACAAGGATGGAGAAAACGAGGTCGAGGGTTCAATTGCTGGTCAGGACACAATATTAGATTGTGGGTTTGATCCCCAGGTCAGGGCACATACTCTCTCTCCCTTTTTCTTTAAAAATCACAAAACATGTCCAGATGAAGATTAAAAATGAAATGAAATAACTAAATAAGGTGAGGGAAGAAAAAAGTGAAGGAGAAAAAGAGGAGAGGGGGTATTCCGAGAAATAAACAAACGGCTGCAAAAGAAGAGGGAAGGAGAAAGGCTAAAAGACATATTCACTGCAGGTGCCCACTGGAGGGCTCCGTGACTGTCTGATAGAGCTGCTTTCATGCGAAGACATTCCGAGGCACCATCAACACACACACACACTGAGCATACTGTCAGGGGAAGGCACAAGATGTCTGGAGCCAGAAGGCCCAGGCCTGAATCCCGGTCCTGCCACTGGCTTGTGTGGCCTCTGCAAGTTACTGAACCCCTCTTTCACTGTTTCCTAAAATGGGGATACTACTAGTATATCCTGCATGGCGTTGCCATGGGATTAAATGAATTAATCAATGTAAGTGCTGACAACAGTGCTGAGCACATGGAAAATTCTTATTTTTAAAAATATATTTTTTATTGATTTCAGAGAGGAAGGGAGAGGGAGAGAGAGAGACAGAAACATTAATGATGAGAGAGAACTGGCTGCCTCCTGCATGCCCACTACTGGGAGATCCAGCCTGCAACCCAGGCATATGCCCTTGACAGGAATCCAACCTGGGATCCTTCAGTCCGTAGGATCCATCCAGGGAGCCACTCTAGCTAGGACTGGAAAATTTTTATCATTAACCAATGGGGGAAAACAGACTAAGGTCATTCTCTGCCCTAAACTGGGTTTGAGGATGGAGTGAAGCTTGGAGCAGGTAAGGCTTAGGGACGCAATAAAGAGTGGCAATTTAGGTAAGGAGGTGTGTCCGTAAGTAGTCAAACCAGAATGCCACATGCATCACCAAGCAAGTCCAATCCATGGATAGTCCTTTTGCCCACGCAGGCATCTTTCTAACCCTTTCCCAGGTCATTCCTCCTTCCCCCTCATGCCCTCTTCTTTTCTGCTCCTCATGCAGCAGCTCTTTGGTTCTTCCCGTCACTCATCCTCTCGGGAACTAATCCCCAGCAATGGCGCTGCAATGCAGTCAGAACTACATAATAATTTTATACTATTGTAAGTGTTACGTAGCATCAAAATTATTTCATTTAATTTTTTGGTGCTGTCACTATGGTCCTATCCCTCTCTTCTTTGTTCTTTTTATTGGAGTATATATTCATATGACAAAACATCTGATTAAACATTTTTTTTTTTAAAGTAGGGAACGGAGGGGAACAAAGCTCAGGCTAAGCGGAGTGAACGGGGAGCCTGCAGTAAACGGTCCCATGGTCAAGTCAGGGACCCCTGGCAGCTGGGAGGAACCGCCGGGAGAGCAGGTTGCAGAGTCCAGTCCGGAGGACCAGAGAGGGCCAGGTTGAGGGTCTTGGACACCATTTGGGCTTCAGTGGAGAGAAGTCCCTGGACCTGACCGATGCAGCCTGCAGTGTGTTTGCTAACATACTGAGTATTCAGAAAATCCTAACTCTTTTTTTACTTTTCCATTAGTTCTCCATAATGCTCTAAAAGCAGGAGGGGGGGGGGGGGGGGGGGGGGAGGAGCAAACATGAAGGAATCCGGTTCTCTGGGACTAGGACACCCAGTTCCTACCGCGAATAGACAACATCTACCTTACCCTGAAGGCTCCCTGTCCGGTGGCTGTTTGGAAATAACGCTAGCAAACAAGCAAATGAAACAAAAGGAAATCATCTCCATCATCCCAACTGGTGAATTTCGGAAAAAAAAATGCTTTAGAAGAAAAAGAAGAAAGAAGGAAGGAGGAGGAAGAAGAAGGAAGAAGAAAGAAGAGAAGAAGAAAGAAAGAAAGAAAGAAAGAAAGAAAGAAAGAAAGAAAGGAAGAAAGAAAGAAAGAAAGAAAAAAGAAAGAAAGAAAGACCATAGACATTGCACAGAAATCTAAAGCCAGGAGCCTGGCATTTAAAAACCAGCTATTTATTTTCCTGAACATCCCTTGTAGCCAAATCCCAACCACTCTCATTCTCCTCCGCACCCCTCCCACCCTCCATCCGCCGCCCCCCCCCCCCCCCCCAACAACCCCACACCGCCCGCCCCACGCCCACAGGCTCCCGGGATGACGTTGCTGGGCAGCGGCGTGGCGGCTCAGGTGAGGGGTCCTCCCAGGCCCCCCAGCGCAGGCGGCCAGCGCCCACCCGCTGCCGCCAGCATCCCGGCAGCAGGGGCGGAGAGGCGCTGGCCGGCGGGGCAGGGCGGGGGCGCGGGCAGTGCGGGAGCCGGGGGAGGGGGCGGCGCGGGGCGGGCGGGGGCGGGCACGGGGCCGGTCCTGCCTCCCCGGCCGCCGGCTGACGCCGCAGTCGGAGCCCCGGACGCGCGGGCGCAGGGACTCGGGGCCGCCGGCGGCGACAGCTTCCAGGCGAGCGGAGGACCTCGGCGCCGCGGGCTCTGCGGCCACCGCTCCGGGCACCGCTCCAGGCACCGCTCCGGCCGCGGACGGACGTGAGTAGCCGGCTGCGCGCTGGCGGGACCCCGGGAGCTGCGCGGGGCCCGCGGCAGGAGCGGGGGGCGCGGGCGCCGGGACCCCGGGCCGGGGCTCCGCGGAGCGCTCTCCCGCGGGCAGGGCGAGCCCCATCGCCAGCTCCCGCTTCTCTTTAGGCCCCGGCCGGGCGGCGGGAGAGGGCCCCGCGGAGGTGCCGCATCCCCGGCCGCGCGGGCGGGCGGGTGGGCGCCCATCGCCGCCTCCCGGCCGGGACCCACTTGCGCCCCCGCGTCCACGCCCCGCGCCCGCCTCCGGGCTCTTTCGGTAGAGCGGGGGCTGCCGGGGCTGCGGGGCCGGACAGGGGCTTCCCGGAAAGCCGGCGGGAGGGGCTGGGGGCCGGGCCGGGGCCGCCAGGCGGGTGCGCCTGCAGGTCCCGCGGCCGCGGCTGGGCGTGGGCTTTGTTCGGATGCGCTCGCACCTGCGGACCGGCCGCCGAGTTCCGGGCGAGCCCCCTCCGCCCTCGCCGCTCCGGAGGGCGCCGGGGGAGCCTGGGCCCGGCCCGGCGGGGGCTTTCCTGGGCTCGGTGGCCCCGCAGGTGCGGGCCCCGGGGTCCTGGCGCCCCGCCCAGGCTCACCGGGCTGGGACTTGCTGGGACTGGCTCGCTGGGGCGTGGAGCCGATCCGGGCTCCCAGAGCCGGTGTCTGGCAGCGGCTGCGGCCGGGGCGGCTGCCGGGGCTGGAGCATCCTTAGCGGGTGGGCGCCGCCGCGAGCGCGTCCTCGGCCGATCGCCGGCTCCTCCGCGCTGGGCCCGCCTCTGCCAGCGCCCGGAGCGGGGAGCCGGGGAGTCATCCTTTTTTCCAGAGCGGTGTACACCGGGCAGCCGGGGACGCCGGGGGGCGGGGGGGTTCCCCGGGTCCGGGGACCGGGTTCCCAGGGTCCGGATCGCCTCCCCGCCCACCTCCCGGCCTGCGGGGCCGCATCCTCTTCCCCCGACTCTCCCAGGTCGCCCCTGCGCGGCGCTGGCCCGGAGCGGTGGCGTCCCTTTCCCACCCTGCCTCTCTCCTGTCTCCTGGTTCCATCAGCTCCAGCCAGAGGCCTCTGGGGCTCGTAGCTGTCTGTCTGAAAAGGGGAGCATTCCTTTTCCTGCCGGGCCCCGCGTGGTTCGTGTGCAGAGGTGCGGCTCCCGAGTGGGCCCTCCCTCGCCCTAGGCTCTGGCGAGCAGAGGGAGGCGAGGCGGGAGGCTTTCCTGCAGTGCCAGGAGCTCCCCGTGGGACTTTCCTGGGAAGGAAACCGGTGGCCCCTGCATGCAGACCCGGGAGGCAGGGCTGGTTCACATAAAACATGTGAACCATGCCCTGCTATTCACATACTGGAATCATAGGTCGCGAGTCAATGCGATCTACCAAAAGCACTGAAACGGGTTTAGGCAATTGAATGCTTTCTACTTTAATGATAATGACAGTCAACTTTTTTTTTTAAGCTGCAGATATACTTTGTGCGGTGCAGTTTGCAAGTATCATCTCATTTACTTCCACAGTGAAAACTGGGAGGTGGAAACGTAAAGAAACTAAGTAACTTTCCTAAGACCACGTGGCTAGGAAGTAGGGGAGCAAGGGTTATTAGCTTCTTGCCCCTATACTTGGTCATTCAAGACTGTCTGTGCACATGTCGCCCTTTGGAGGCTTATTCGTTTGGAGGAAGCCTGAAACCGCCCGGTGTCCAAAATCAGGGACATATTATAAGCCCATTTAGTTCTAACGCCTGCAGACCTCACAGTTAGCCGAGCAATATAGTCATTCAGCGAATTGTATTTTGCAGAATAGCCTTTTATTGCCCTGTATTGCTCTTGGAATTCCTTTACAAGGTCCTTTATTCTTGTTAGCTTTTAAGTACTTGGCTGTTAACCCGCAATTCAAGAAGTTACAGTCACTGGACTGTGCTTAGTGACCGGTGGGCCCGCACACCACCTTCCCCCCCCCCCCCCCCCCCCCCCCCCCCCCCCCCCCCCCCCGCCGCTTCCTATTACAGAGGCTGAGAGATTGCTGGCAGGTCACAATTTTTAAGAAACTTTTTTAAAATTTTATTTTAATAAAGGTAAAGTTTCCATTTGGCAATGTTTCCATTTCAGGATCCCAGCCTTGAATCCCTTTTGTAGACCCCTTTGACTGTGGAAGATTTACTCCTCAAATTGGATATTGAATTTAAATAGAACTCCAGTATAAAATCTTAACAAAGCATTCAATATCCTACATATATAAGAATGTGTGGTGCATTTACAAAAATGCTCCATATTAACTACTAGAAACAAGCATTTGAACTGAAGTGAAATCATCTATTCCCGGAATAGCTTTTATAATAGCAAGGTTTTAATTGGCTGATCACTTGGAAAAACGAGTTCTAAATCCTGACTCATGGTCTTCTTCCAGCCTGCTTTTGCTAGCACCTTATTACAGGAAGGTTGCTAAGCATGCCATACAACCCAGGAATTCTAGAGCCGTAAGAGCGCAGTGTGTAAACCTTTGGGTTTCAAAAGGAGCGCCGTGGGGCTGGGAGGGGCTTCGGGGAGCCGGGGAGTCATCCTTTCTTCCAGAGCGGTGTACACCGGGCAGGAAAGCCATGAGGTCTTTGGACTGGAGGCCAGTGTCCTTACACCACATCATTAAAAAACAAACAAACAAACAAACACATTTCTATTGATTTCACAAAAGAAGGGAGAGGGGGAGAGAGAGAAACATCCACCATGAGAAAGAATCATTGATTGGCTGCCTTCTCACACCCCTTACTGGGGATGGAGCCTGCAACCCGGGCATGGGCCCTGACCAGAATAGAATCTCCTGGTTCATAGGTTGATTGACACTCAACCCCTGTGCCACACCGCCTGGGCACCACATCGTTTTTTTGTTTGTTTGTTTGTTTGTTTTGTTTGTTTTTGTTTTATTATTGCATCAGTGATGGTACATAGAAAGCAAGTTGTCTTTAGAAATGATACTAGACCCGGCTGACCCCACTCCATTGGGCAACAGCTGGACCTGGCCAGCCCCACCTTGTCAAGTCCCGCCGGGATTAGGGTGGAGGGCGCAGCCTCAAGTTCCCCAGCGCGCCCTCAGGACCCCTGGCCTCGTGCCAGGGCAGGGGGCATGTCCTGAGGTCCATTGGCCCAGTGCCAGGGTGAGCGGTGTGACCTGGGGTCCCCCGGCCCAGCACTGGGGTAGAGCACCTTGAAGTTCCTTGTCAAGCCCCACCAGGCAGGGGGCATGGCCTGAAGACCCCAGCAAGCACTGCCAGGTGGGAGGATGCAGCCTGAGTTCCCCTGTCTAGTCCCACTGGGTAGAGGTGTGTGTGTGTGTGTGGGGGTGCAGCCTCAGGTCCCCTGCCCTGGCCCAGCTCCATGCAGCCTCAGGTTCCTGCTGATTGCTAGTTCAGGCTCTTATGGGAACTCAGCCTCCACTGTGGGCACAGCCATCTTGTGTTACAGAACCCCCCACCCCGTGGGCATAGCCATTTTTGTGATAGTGGTATGGCCAATTGGCATATTCCCTCTTTATTAGATAGGCTATAACCTTAATCACCTGCTAAAAGCTCTGTCTCCAAACACAGTTGTATTGGGGATTAGGACGTCAACATATGAAATGACGGCACGGTTCAGTCCATAGGACTCCTGGTTAGCTGCCTCTGTCAATAGCCTTTGGAACCTCATTCCCATTTACAAAGAATGTTTTCCACTGGAGAAGCATGGTAACCGATAACGAATTGAACAAGAATATGGAGTTCCTAAAGTATTCTTTTTCTTTAGGAAGTTTTGTGTGCTTGCATCCAAAGAGGAAAAGGAAGGTGATTTGAAATGATTGAACATTACTAAATACCTATAGGTGTATTGTATTTCCCTTTCATGTTTCATGCTTTCCCACCAGAAGGAGCCTTGGCTTCTCTGCCAGGTGAAGTCAGAGGAGGAGGTAGGGAACTCTTAGCACCTAAGGATGTCAGGGGCAAGAATCCAGTAGCTTATTTGATTTCACCTTCTGTCCACCCAGGCAGACGAAAGGCCCCTTTAGTTTTAGAGTCTTTATTGCCATCAGAGGCTAAGACTAGGAAAATGTTCCTGAGTGAACTGATAGATGTTTGTTTTTCCTCTCAAACTGTGAACGGGAGGGCTCCATGAAGAAAATATGGGATGGCTCTGCCTCCAGCAAAAATAACTCTTTGAATATCAGGTTGTCTGTAAATGGGGGGAGCAAATGCAATATATGTATAGAAAACAGGATGTTTTTGCTAAGTTTCTTTCTTCTTTTTAATTTTTTAAATTTTTAAAATTTTAAATTAACTTCTTTATTGATTAAGGTATCACATATTTGTTCTCAATCCCCTCATCTCCCATTCAAATCCCCCACACCTCCCCACTCATGCCCCCACCCCCTATTGTCCTTGACCACTGGTTAGGCTCATATGTGTGCACATTAAGTCCTTTGGTTGATCTCTCCCATTTATCCCCACCCTCCCTTTGAGGTCCAACAGTCTGACCCATGGCTCCTTATCTCTGGGTCTGTTCTTGTTCATCAGTCTATGTTGTTTACCGTTTCCCCTAGATGAGTGAGATCATGTCCTATTGGAAATATACTTATAAGAATCAAAGATGAGACAAGCAATAATCGTTATGCTGAAAGGCATATGAACCAGTCTGGAGTGAGCTTCTTTCTGGGCCACCAGTTCTTTTGAGTCCCAATTTCAATGTCAAACAGTTCCTTATGTGTACATGTCAGCAATGATATTTCAGTTCTGGATGGTGGACAAATGGTGGTAATGCAGGTCCAACCCTCTCTGGTTGGTCCTGGGCAACCTGCAGTGATACACAGCTGCTGACTGCTAGTATGGTAAGCTGTCATCAGCGACTTCCATCTCTGGACTGCTTCTCTTCTGTCTTCATGGTTGGAGTAGTCCCGCCAATTCCTCTCTGTTGCCAAAATCCACATGGTCTCGGAGTTGTTTTCTGAAATATACAAGCTAAGTTTCTTTATTTTGGTGA